CCCCGTCAAAAGTATGCTCACAGGGGATTCTTCTTTTCAAATATCATGCACCGAAAAGCTTTGGTAATGCTCCATTTTGAAATCGGAAGTTGTTTTCCATACTTCCCTTCCTTGAGGTAACTTAAAATGCTGTGACTCTGTGGACAATTTTCTGGCCCCTGCTCGGTCCCCTCACCTGATGTTTCCTTGATACGTCACTGTTTACGAGATAAAGATCTGTCAATATGTGATGAGCCTTTTGGCTCAGTTTCAGCCATCTTGACCTCAGCTGATTGTCCTACAAATATAACGTTCTGGAGCAGCTTCGTCAAAGCCCTTTATTTCTTGTATCTAATACAGGTGATGTCAGTATTATCTGTACAAACCAGTGACTACCTACAAACGACTAAAGTGTCGTATTTTCCACAGATAAATTGAGACATGAGCTTTTTGTTCTGCTGCATGGCGTTAATTATAATGTAATTTGTTAAACAAGTGTTGCAGACTAAGTTATCCGAGAGTGAGCAAAAATGAAGGCGAAACGAAATAGAGCATTAACGTCAATCTGATAATAACCACAACTATATCTGTTACTGTTAGCACACGATAATAAAACAATACCTTTATTTCAGACAATTTTATCAAATACACAGAAATGAAAAGTATTATTTCAACACATATCTTAGTTTATAAGCTTTCTTCTTTACCTTCAAACACATACTTATCACTTTGAGGAGCGAGACTGAAGCCAGAAAATATGTATATGATAAACAATGTATTTGTGTATGTGTAAATGTAGCTTCAACAAGAATATAATGATATATATTTTACCAATTATTCTGTTATAACAGCGTCTGTATTGTTTTTATTTCATATGGTTACAAGTGTTCTGACGTGGTAAGAAACCTACAGCAAACACTTCGTTCAAAGCCATCGACTAATCTTGCAATACTTCTTGACCTTACCTTTCACTTTTAAATGATATGCAATGTCAATTTCTACCAACACATTTCAAACCCTCTACGGTAATGGTGCGGTTTGGTGTCGCCAGACATGTCATGTTCAGGGAATAAAGCTATCTAAACGACTCGTTTTCATATAGAATTAAAAATTTACGAATCAATGACGGTGAAAGGTGTAACAAATACTCAAAGTTATGAAAATGGTGAAAAACTCGGTTGAGGTGGGATGTCATTCAGATATAACATTTCTTCTTTTCTCGCAAGACAAAGACAAGATACAAATGTATCTTAATGACTGTTTCACCACATACAAAAACACGTTGTAATTTTCTCTAAAAAAGAGAAGAATTGGTTCTCGGTAAAGAGAATTACCGGCTGGTTTTCAGCGGTGCTGAACTTTTCATCCAACCCTCATATTCCGTGTCTTTATAATATGCGTTGATTTTGAAAAAAAAAATGAAAATTACAAATTATTCTTAGGATGTTTATAAAAAGGATGTTTGTGTGAAAAAATGTACCTAATTCCTGTTGGTTTGGTGCCATACTGCCAGGCTCTCAGAAGAATCGCTCTCTATTATTATATAAGATCAGTAAAACAATGCTTCACACTGTAATGGATTGCATCAATTGATGTCAAGACTAAAACATTTTCAAAGTCCTATATCTATTTTTTTTTATCAGTTTCTTAACTCAAATTATCTTCACAAACCACAGTTTCACATTTCTTAAATCTTCACATACCATCAACCTTCACATTGCAACTTGTATCCCTGAATATCTCCGTCCGAATTGTGACACTGAATATCATCGATAATAGAAAAAACGTGACACAATTTTTTGGCTTTGGAACATTAATAAGAAATTCGTTCCACAAGATGATCAAAATGATGAAATAAATACTATTTACAATTAAATTATCACATCAAATTCTCATTTTCAACTGGCTGCAATCCATATAATGATATATAACAATGCATATCCAAGACTAAAGTTTAATATTTGCTTCCATATGGCACTAGATCCACTTTTAATAGGTATTTTCTCATTGAATGAAAAACCTGCAAAAATAATTTCAAGTAAGTTTTATCATACGACAAAATTCAGATTTAAAATACTGTCCTCGTAGTTTCTTTCAGCAATTCACGAGATAATTCTGGATTCGAGAGTGCCTAGAAAGCCGAACTTAAATCAATACCCACGTTAAGGTGGAAAATAGTGGGTATGCTTTAGGTGGCGTCGAGACGTCTCTTGGTGGTAGTGAGGTTCCCAAAAGTTCCTTAATCAAACACTCCAAATAAATAAATGTCGCTACCTACCTCTTTTTTCGTTGTATGTATCAGCTGAAAAGATAAAGACAGAACTTTATTCATCCACAAAAATAGTTTAACAGTGGGCCAATTGATACAACGTTACATTAATAAATTTACGACGGTTTTATCTGAATGTGCTTAAATGAAATTACAATACACCCCTCCCCCCACCTTTCATCCCCTAATATCGCTCTGTCTCAAAAGAACATTAAACTTTGATTTTAACATTAATTCTAACATTAAACTAAAAACTTTAATGGTCTTTATAGGGATGATTGTGTTGTTTTATTTTGATTAGAACGCTTCTTAAATCATAACATCTTCACATCGCCAAGTTATTACGACCTTCGGCTTATACCTTGACTCCGATAGCCGCTTTTATCGTAACACGGAATGCAGCGATTTGATTGGATTTGGAGTTTCCAGACTTTTTGTCGAGGCTGTATTGGCTAGCGTACAATCCAATCATATCACTGTATTTACAAACTTCCGTGATACCAAAAAGGCGGCTATTGTAATCAAGATATAAACCGAAGGTCGTAATAGCTTGACATTGTGAAGATGAAATGATAAAAACCATCACTAATTCATACAAAATTCAAAAAGCTGTAGACCATCATAACCAGACTAAATTGTTTATCAACTCTTTTAAGCTTCGAAAATCCAATGAAGAGAAAAATAAGGCCTAACATTGTAATATATTATTAAATGAAGTGCTCTTATGAGATAAAACAAAATAATTGGACTTAAATTCACGAATTATCTCGCATCAAATATATTTAAAACAGAGGTTTCTTTCCAAAATCATAAAAGATAAGCATTCTAACCACGAGAGTTTGAAATTGAACACAAGTCCTGATCATTAATACAAATTAATAGTATATGATATTAAATGGCATTATGTAATTTACAAGCCTTACCAATGTTCATCTCTCAAGGAAGGTATTTTATAATGAAAACTTCGATAAATTTTAATGATATTGTCCACTTAATTTGAATTTGATTAAGCAGACTGTGGCCAGAACATCGGCATTAATTTGCCTGTTTTTTTAAACCTAAGGCACGGGGCTCTGTTTTTCCCAAAAGGTGCATACACCACCGAAGAGAGATTTATGGCAGCACTGAAGAATGCATACTTCACAATTTCAAGCTATAATGAACTGCTTCTAATACCTTGACTGCAATAGTCTCTTATTTCATGGAAGTTTGTACCCTAAAGAATAGTCAGTCAGGGCCTTCAACAGAATGTCCGGTTTTACGGTTTTCATGTCGAGGGCTCTGATTGGCTATATTCTCTAATGTACTATCCAGTCAAATAGTTGTATTGCGAGATACAAGAATACTGGCTATTGCAGTCAAAGTATAAAACGCAGTTCGTAATAGATTGACATAGTGACTATGTGAGGAATGGGGAGATCCAATACTATTTTCTATGTTTTGACATAATTGAGTTTTATTAAGAAAATCAAAACGGGTTTTTATACGTGGGTTATTGATGAGAAGTTACTCTTCATCTTTTTTCTACATTCTGGGTTCATTGATCAAGAAAATTAGTTTGAGATTGTAGTAAGAAGTCTTGAACTAAAAGTTTCATATTTCTAACTAAGAAAGTCGTAAAAGGCATCTAAGCAAACACAATTTAATTAGAATGAATTGAAGTTTGTGTAAGTCTGAAGCTGTGTTATGTTTTCCAGAAAACTTCTTGTATCTGTTTTACTTTAAGGAAGTTACTTATTTAGCTTTTCGATGAAGCTTAATAACGTGTCCATAAGAATTTAGAAATTTAGACGATAGACAAATAAGTTTCTTCGAGGAGAAATAGTACGTTTTTGACCCTGCGTTCCAAATCCTTTGTCCTTTTTTTTTTTTAACTCAGCGCATTTTATTCAGTAAGTTTTTATATTGACCGCAGTATAGTTAATTGGATACCAGTAACACGAAACAAGCAGCCATGTTTCAGACTGTTTCGCTGCAAAAAATATCACAATGAATAATGGAATACTTTTTATAAGAGATTCCTTTTCAGCTATCGGTATCACGTTTCAGAAAGAAAGTCTAACGTCTGGTGCGTTTGCAATTAATCAAAATGTGCCGTCGGAATCATGGATTATACCATAACTCTACAAAAAGCTGGATGTGGATATTATCTTTTTGAAGGCAAATTAACTTTATGACCAATTGAAGATTTGTCAATCGTTGAAACGGTTAAGGATTTAGAAAGAACTTTATGTACTACCGATGACCTCTATGTTATCGAGTAGAAGGTTCCAATATAGATAATATTGATTGGAATGGTTTAAGTGGAATGGTAACAATGATTCCTGGAATAACATTACCAATTCCATCACACTAAATGCTTGTAGAGAAGATTTAACAATACGATAGTATCGAATTACACACAAAAGCAGACTTTGCCAATTTGTTTCAGAACATTCAAACTGAAAGACAATTTTGGCGATTAGAACTATCTTTTTTACTTCGAAACACACGAACTATTGACTGTTCTATTTTCATATATTCAGTGATTTTTTTTGTTAAAACAGAGCATTTGAAAGTAAACCGTTAAGTTTTAGTCTTTTTCCGAAATATCAAAATAAAAATGAAATTGTTTGATACCCAATTTTTGGTCTCAAATAGCGAGACAAAAAGTGCAATTCACCTAAAAAGTATATTTGCCAAAAACTCGATCCTTGCCACAGTATATACTCCATCAAGTTCCAACCTCTAATTTTGTCAATGCATATTTGCATTATTGTATTGCATTGGAATATACAGTTGTATACAATTGAAATGTATACTTACTATTTAATACATTAACTTTGACACTAGTTATCTGTAAATCTGACGTACGACACACATACGTTCCCGCATCATACATATCCGCCCGTAACATCACTAACGTACTAATAATAGTTCTATCCGATAACGACACATCCATGTTTATAGATGTACGATCATTGGGCGTTATTTTTAATCCATCTTTGAACCAATCAAGACCCTCCGGGGGATAGTCATTTCCAGTTGCATTACACGTAATCTTTAAAGGATTGCCCTTCTCTACAAACGTTGATCCTGAGATTTCAATATCTGGAATAAAAGAAATTAAAGTTAATGGGTGTATTCTCTATAGAATATAAAAGTCATAATAAAGAGATATATCAAATATAAAATGAAATGAAATTTGTCCCCTGAATGGGGAAATATAGATTGTGAACGCGTTAGTTTCACAGATTTTGCAGGGAAGCGGCGTAGTCTGGATATATATATGTCGAGGCAGCTTTAATGTGCAAAGACCTTAACAAATCGGGCCTCCAGAAATGAGATTCTATAATCGAAATTACTGTAAAATAATTATCCACACTGGACGTCCCGTTGTAATTAAAAGTTTTATACTCTCCATGGCCCAAAGTTCGAATCTTTCGCTCTCTCGTTGTTCCGCTCGGCTGGCCTTGACTTGGCCTGGAGTGGAGTAAAGAATCCAAAGAGTTCAAATGGACGCTGTAGATTGGACTGGTTGACATGACCGTTCTCAAGTACTCCTATTATTTTACCCAAAACCCCTGAGAGTATAAGTACTCCAGAATGGGAGGCTGAGTTCTAGAACGTAGTTATTGTTATAAACAAATCAATGTCTAAATGATCTGAAAATGATTGATTTCCATCACATATTATAAACGAAACTAGTTTAGGACATGGTTCAAGAGGCAAGGTGACAATCCATTATCGTGACTGCATGAAATAACAAATCTCTTGGGCACATAAAAAGAAAACGAAACAGAATGGAATGACATGTGCCATCAAACAAGTTAAAACGCTTAAGGTTATACGATGTCTTAATCTTTGAAAACAATTTATTGCGCGCCTCTTGTCAGTAACAACAATGCAATGGCAACTACCAAAAAATTTGAGTGTTTCCTTGCATCACACCTAAATTCACCAAACAAGTTAAAGTAAAAACGCTATGAATCATGAATCAGTGTTATCATACATAGATCAGAGCTCTTATACGTATTCGATTGGATCACACACTATGTATGACAATACACGAAATCTATCGGGTCAAGATTTGCAAGCATATGACCGAATGTCACCAAGGATATCCAAGTGTCAAGGATGTATCTAGAAAATGACACAAAGAGGGTGCGGGTCGGAGGCGATGGTGCAACAATGAGTGTCTCTCCGAAGGGCCGAAGCTCCTTCATCTCGGGGCTTCCGTAGGCCTCGTAAGCCAACGGATTTCAGATGGCCTGAGATAAATGTTGATCATTGCGAGAGCTTGGTGTTTACTTCAAAATTGACCTGTCACAGACCTGAGCGAAGACATATCCCAATGACCCATCCCTTAAATATGTCACCGCCTAGAATTGTCAACGATTTAAAAGAATTTTAAGTATGTGGTATATCATTGATACTATTGTTAAGATATACGATACATAACGCAAGTTGACACAAAATCTAGGGTGCCAATATATCAAGTTTGTCCCCTAGTCGGTAATGGCTAATAAGGCGGGTAAAGATAACATCTGAAACGGATATGTTACCATATATACAAGATATTGCAAAATTTGGATCGTCTGAAACGGGTTATATGATGCATATTGGAACATAAATGCAAGATGTGGATCATCTGAAACGGGTTATATGCAACCATGATGGAACATATTGCAAGATTTGGATCGTCTGAACAGGTTATATGATGCATATTGAACATAATTGCAAGATTTAGGTCGTCTGAAACGAGTTATATGATGCATATTGAACATAATTGCAAGATTTGGATCGGGTTATATGATGCATATTGAACATAATTGCAAGATTTGTGTCGTCTGAAACGAGTTATATGATGCATATTGGAACATAAATGCAAGATGTGGATCATCTGAAACGGGTAATATGCAACCATGATGGAACATATTGCAAGATTTGGATCGTCTGAACAGGTTATATGCTGCATATTGAACATAATTGCAAGATTTAGGTCGTCTGAAACGAGTTATATGATGCATATTGAACATAATTGCAAGATTTAGGTCGTCTGAAACGAGTTATATGATGCATATTGAACATAATTGCAAGATTTGGGTCGTCTGAAACGGGTTATATGCAATCACTTAAATGAAGTCCACACAAAACAAAACTATGATTGTCTTAACTGACACACAATTAATTCGACTGTACACGAGTTCGAATGGTATTGTCATGTCAACAACAAAATAATTTAAACTGTCTGTTGCTAGGAGCAGAATAAGGCGCCAACATTGAATATTCATGAAATTTAAAACTGAGACTCAACAACACAAATTAAAATCTGAGTTTATTTCTTTAAAGAGAAATTCAACCTGATTGGTCTATGCTATTAATTGTACATTAATGCGACAAAGCACAAATTTTTTTCTGCCAAATTAGATATGTCTGTCATAAGGTAATCACAAGGTATGGCATGATTAAGACTATCACTCAATAGTCAATTTCATCCAATCTTCCATAAATGCCTCTACTGCTAAACCATCGGGTTCATTTCTTCATTTTCGTAGAAAATTGAATGCCAATTTAATCGAAAAGTGGTAAATCATAAAAACTTAAAAACAAAATAACTTCAACCAACGGAGATCCAGAAACGCTCAGATGCATAACTACAGATCTTTGATTGAAGATATAGAGATATAAAGACCACAGCTAGATAATAACCCTAGGATAATCCAGAAAACTAAGGCCCAGGCAAGGTAACATTACAACAATTTCTCACCAAAAACCACAGGATCCATACACAGACAATTAAAGTTTTACTAACCAAGACCAAAATATACAATTGATTAATCATCAACAATCAAACGTTCATGGTTAGTCACCAAGGAATAGAGACCTGGAAAATTTTCCAAGGATTAGAGCAGCTTGACCTTAAATACAAACTGTTCTCGCAGAACCAAAGGACTCAAGACACAATCTGTTAGTTAGGATTATCTGTTTCGTACAAATGGAGCCCTTAGAAGATATTCAGCCCAAGCTAAGCATTCTCTTGTAGAATAAACTTCTACTCAACTTAATATCTGAGACAAGAGTGAAACAGATCTTGTTAATATCACAATGTATAGTCTGACTCTATCACATTACATGGTCATATTAACTAAAGTATTAAGATAATTTCCATCTGTTTCCTTTCAGTTGATCATTATATAGTCGTTCCGCGATATATGAATTGCTCAAGTCGTCCTTACTTGGAGTCTTAAAGACCGGTTTCTTGTTCCAGCATAAAACCAATATTTACAGTCAGTCACACAGGCAGCACACGAAATTAGACATTGATAAATCAAAATAATAGTCAGTTTAATATTTATGGTCAACAGTTTAATAAATACTGCTCAATATCAAGTATTCGTTTAATTAAAGCCCGAGACAAGTATTTATTGACAAGAGAATAAATTAGAGAAGCAGACTATAGAATTTGGAATGGTTACTGACTATATATCAAGTAATAAAATAGTTGGTTTGGTTGGCAATCTGTATAATAATAGGATCTAGCTGTCTATTTGCTATGATCTATAGAATTAATCTTTCTATATATTTTAATCACAAATCAATAGCTTTAATATCTAGTGAACTTATACAAAAATTTAACTCTTATTCCCTAATAATATATTTTGGCAAATAAGAGTCTTTTAAGCACGAAATCATGAACTCAAGTTAATTATAATATTACGACAACCACTTCCTTGAAAATCACATTCCGCTGAAGTTTGTCCGTATGAGGAGCTTCCTCAATTCCCATATCCACGAGACAAATCTAGTTTTCAAAATCAACAATGGGTATGCTTATTGCTGTCAGCTACTAATTCATCATCAGATGGCAAAAAATGCTTAACCGTAAAAATGAGACAACAACAAAAGTTGCTTATAATATCCAAAGAACTTTGCGTTAAATAACTCATAGTTTTAGTTTAGTTTAGTTTTATCAAGAACCAGAGGCATTCAAAATTCGAATGATACATAGCGTTGCTATCAGTGTCCTCAAAAACATTTTTGAAAACCTTTCTACAATCCCTCAAATAGAGAGCCATTTGACTTCATTTATCAACCACATAGAATGTTCGCTGTAAGGTTAATTCAAATTAGCATTCCATAGAATTGTGGGTGGACATAGTACTTTTTATTCGATCAACATTTTCAATACCATTCTAGATTAGCTTCATACTTAAATCAAAAGAGACATATAAAGGTATAATTTTCTTATCCACAAGTAGATCTAATCACGCGTTGGGAGAGAAAACTGCTAAAAACCATCGTGTTTTCTAATTGAAAAGGAGAAAAGAAGTTTGATTTTATTGGTTCGACTTAATCACCCCCTCCCCCGGGCCACTACAACTCAACCTCAATTTAAATTGAAAACGCAATGAACCATTGAAAAGTCTTGATAAATTTGAAATCAATTTGTTCCAATTAAATGAAAGTATTTGTTTCAATGTATAGTGCATTGGTGGCGGAATGAAAATGGAATAAAATTTAAATAAGTTGTGCACTTACCTGGTCCTTTTGAACTTTTTGCTGATTTTTCTGTAAATAAACAGAAAACGGAGTAATGAAATATCAATTAAAGCTGATTTATCGACAATCCGCAGCATCCCCTCGTCTTAACTTTGCCTCTATCCTGCAACCTCCATATCCATATTCTCGGTGGATAAGTTGTTTTACCAATGGAGAGGCATAAGGCGTAAACATACGCGGCTTAACAAGTCGAGTCTATGTGCAAGTTGAGGCTAGTTGAGGTAATGAAAAAGTTGAGGCAATAAACAAGTCGGGTCTATACAAACAGGTCGAGTCCGTGAACAAACAAGTCGAAGCCTAAAGGTTACAAGTGACAGATGAGGTTGAGACAGGTTGAGGCAATGAACAAGTCATCAATAAATGAATAATGTCGAGTTTATCAACAAGTTCGGGCTTCGATTATGTTGAGTCTTTGAACAAGCTTATTCATTTCACAAATCGTGTCAATGAACAAGTCGAAGTTATGAACAAACCAAGCCAATGAAAGGAATTTAACGATCTACATACCGCTAACCCGCAACATGATGAGTCGTCTAATACTTCTAGCTTTAGAACTTATTTGGCATTCATAAACACCTTCATCCTCATACGTCACATCTTTTATATGTAAACTCCATTCCATTGAATATTTTTCGTGATATACTTTAATTCTTGAGTCCGAAACATAAGTTACATCGTTTATTGTAAGTGGATTAGGATCAGATGCTCTTCGCCAAACAACCTATAAAATAGAATACTATAATGAGCCCAAAAACCCACAGGGATCAATATAGTGTGTTATTTAAAGATGATAGCAAGTTTACAGGTTACCAACCAATAAGTTTTAGGTAACTTTGTATTTTACATATGTATAATGTTACCAAAGATTTTCAGAAGGATGGCTGGATTTGGATCTTCTTGTGCCCTATTTCCATGAAATGTATTTAATATATTTCACCCACTTGTGATTCACAGCATCTAATCATCAGCGATAAGAAATCAAATAATTGCAATCAACAGGAGAGTCGGGCATTCTGAACCCCCAGGTCGACGACTGGACCAAATTTTAACTTCAACGCAGAACGAAAACAAAAGGGAGCAACTGCGTCTTTTCAGATGATAAGAATTCAGTTACAAGAATCACATTGTGCCAGTTGTAGATGTTATATAATATGTGATGTATGGCGATTTCTAGAAAGAGTTCCTTTAAAGATCATTATAACTCCCAAGATCGTATCGGTATAGTTAAATTATTTTTTATCTGTAATAATGTCTGGTCCATATCATCCGGGATTTTATGTCATTGTTTGCGATCAAAATTACCTCAACCAGAACATCTTCTCTCGTGAATTCATTTGAACTACAGACAATGGAACAAAGATGACTCAAACATTTCACTTATTGGATTCAATTTGATGAAACCTTTAAACGTTAAATTGAATAGAAAACTTCTACATGTTTTCCCAAAGGAACCCAGAATTTAGATTGAAAAATGTAAAAATATAAGTGTATGGGCCGATACCTTTTATCGGTAGATGGTAATAAAATTACTGCAAGATACTCTTACTCTTGTTAATTCAAAACATTATTAAGGCGCAACCCCTCTTAACTGGCGAGAATGACGGTTTAAGGTTGTCGACTTAGATGCGATTTTTGAAAAGTTAGTTTGCTAATAAAAGGAATAGCGACAAATAGCAATTTGCAAAACTTATAAGCCTGGTACAACGAAAAAAATAAAGAGTAATAAAATGAATTGAAATGGAGTTGTAGATCTTTAGAACCATTATTGGTCTAGTGAAGGAATGGGCGGAATTTTGCGAAGCAACCGCTTTAGATGATCTTGAACGCGTATCATAAGGGTCTTTTTTCAGTATATAGTTCAAAATGACTGGAAAAGGCAGAACGACCATCTGTGTAAACTACAGAATCAAATGGTCGTAGACTTCACAAACAAACTTGTGGTCTTTATGGAGAACTCATTGATATTATATAATACATCTTTCTTGATTTTTAGCTGATTTATTTAGTCAAGCATGAATTGATCTGGTTGTATCTCATGATTTTGACTATTGTGGTAGTGGTGGGTGTCGCGCGTAAAGCGGAACATGATTACTCTTTTCGAAACACCAGACGTCACGACTCGTTTGAGGAGTCAACTATTATATTTACTATTATTGCTACTGATTTTGTCATGCTTTCGACGAGATTTTTGGTTACTGGAATTGTTTTGTTTGTACGGATTTTTATTTTACTGTCATACTGTCAAATCAACCACCAACAGTAATATAGGGTTTGTTTATTCAATAAAGAGGAAGTATTTAACTAGTGAAAAGAACGAAAGATAATGTTTTGTTATCAATTTCAACATCACTATTATCATCCTAGCATCATCTTTATCAACATAGCATCATTTATATCTCTCTAGAATCATTCTTATCTGCATTAGATCATCATCATTATTATGTCAATACATCATCTTATCATCTTATATCGTCCCACATTGCATAGATATCAGCGTGAATCCCAAACATTGGGGCAATATAGCATGTGTGGTAAATGAATGGAATGGCTTCTGGGTGGTATACTCATTATTTTCACTAAAAATACGCTTTATTACCAGTTTACGGTATTTTTCTGATTCGTTGGTTTGGTGAATCAATTGAAACACTCACTCTCAAGTTTAATGGTTTCACCTTTTTGAATACTGGCTGTTCTAACCTTTACTTTGGTTTTGTAAATGTGTCAGTCAGTGGAAAGAAACACTCTGGGAAGTGAAATTCAGGATGCATGTTTTAAAAACCATGTTCTATTTCAACATTTACAGTCGGTTTATAAGATGCTAGCAATAGAATAAGTTGATGTTTTGATGCCACTGAGTAAATAATCAGAATTCAACATTTATCAGTCGACCTCTGCAAACGTGGTGCACTCAGAGATATTCAGAGTTGTCTGATTTATTTTCATTTCATTCCGCTAAATCAACTACACCATGGCCTAAATTAATATCCATGCCGTCAATGAAGCAATTCAGAGAAGCTGAAGTCCATTCGGAAGGGGAAAAACTGTGCCACAGGTTCTGCAATTAAATGATCCCTCGACATGTTCGACAAGAGCAAACATTTCCTCATTGTATAGCCCAAACAGCAACAGAAACTATCGACGTAAATCTCTATTTCATTTCATAAAAATATTCACTATGCTACTTTTTCTACAAGGAGCAACAATGGTTCAGTTCAACCCCGGCATGGTTCGAGATAATACCTTAGGATCTTTCAACCTTGTTTTCCTTGGTCAATGATACCAGTCGGATGGATTGATACGAAAATATCGTGAGGATGGAACAACAAACAGAGGCTCCGTGTGATACAGGTAGTGTGTGTCGAAAAAGAGCAGGCTAATGCTGGTAAAATTGTCTCCGATTGGCGTTGCTGTCTTCATCAGCCCAGCAAGGAGCAGGAGAGAAGGAAATAAAACTTCATTCATTTCATATTGCCATTCCCACAGCGGTTCAACTCGGTTTATAAAAGGTATATATATCAGCTCAGGTTCTATATTGATACAGACGATCTCTACTCTAATAATATTGAATCGAGAAAGATTTACACAACTTCACTCGACAGTTCATTTATCAAATTTCATCTGGAAATTGATGAAGTTCTCGTTGACTTCATGTTCAATCCACTTGATAAACTGCGAGTTGATTGTCCAATCGACTAGGTCAAATATCAACCTGTAACCTCATTTACTTCTAGCTCAGTTGACATTAGTTACCGAGTATCATTAACTCCTTCTCTACATCCTTTTGTTATAGGCCAGACTTTATCAATCAATCCTGCTAGCGTGGATTATCTCACATCCAGTGTTTTATTTCTGTATCTACAAAGAGCTTTGCCTGGAGCATTAAAGCTTTCAGAAACAAGTGCGACTCTTTATGCCACGATTCAGAAAAGAGCAAAAAAGTAAGTTATTTCACATACAGTGTTATATGTCTGTATCTACGACATTAAAGCTTACAGTAGAGACACGACTCTAGTAGTAAAAGCTTCTACCGTGATTCTAAGATGAAAAAAAAAGCAAAAAAGCTTGAGTTTTTTTTCTTTAATGTTATCTCATATTCAGTAATTTATTTCTATATCTACAGCGTACGTTATCTTAAGCGTTAAAGTTTCAGAAACGATTGCAACAAATACGAGAAAATGAAAAGAGCCAAAAAGCCTGGTTTCTTTCAGTAATGTGTTTTATTTCTGTATCTACAACCAACGTTACTTTAAAGCTTCTAGAGAAGTTGCGACTCTATTATTAAAGGCTTCCTTAATGATTCGAAGAAAATGAAAAGAGCCAAAAAGCTTGTTATTTTTCAATAAGGTTATCTCCAGTGTTTTGTTTCTGTATATCTACAACCAACGTTACTAAAGGCATTAAACTTCCCAGAGAAGTTTGCGACTCTATTATTAAAGGTTTCTACCATGATTCCGAGAAAATGAAAATAGCGAAAATGCTTGTGTTTTATTTATCGTGAGCACTAAATCGTGATGGAGATATATTGATTTGAATTTGGACAACCTAATTCCTTATTTTGACAATTATTTCTTTAAACATATATCTCATGTTTCTGCTTTAGAGGTTTCGTTTAAGAATTGTATCTTGGTTTTCTTCGTTTATTTAGATCCTTCAATAATACATTAAAGATATGAAGGACTTTAACAATATCAAGCGCGTTAGATCATTGCTAGAAACTATCCAGAATTTTCAACACGTCAAATTAAAATCTATGATACTCTAAACGAATTTTATACTCTCATTTCGTCTAGATGATTCCAGACAAGCGTAGAACTTGCCAATGATTATCCACTAGAGATCGACTTGCTAAATTTTCTTCATGTTTGAGATGAGAAATAAAGTAGGAACACATTCTAGAAGCTGTGGTTTAAAACGTCTATTGTACGTCATTTTGTCTTCACATGTTGTAAAGATGTCTGTTAATCGGCAAACTGCATATTTTAATGTCTTCCTTGGCAACCACACCCATAAATACATAAATACTCCATTTTATGTAAATATCAGTCAATAATTTATTTATTTTATAGAACCAGATGCGACATGTTTTAGTCTTATCAACATCATAAGGTGGGCAGAAATTTTTGGCATTTCTTGAATTGTCTGTGCTGAATATAGTCTCTTTAGTTCTAATGAGTGTGTATTCTGGCTAGTTAATGGCTGTACGCTTCAGAACACATAGTTAGCAGTATATAAGATATACTTACAGTTCTGGTACCAAGATTTTGTATAGCACACTGTAATTTAGCCTCTTCTCCTAATCCAAACGTTGTATTTGTAGGTGTATCAAGGAATGAAGGCAATGGATGACCCGTACTTGTACCTGAAGCTAGAAAACATATCAAAATATAGTCACAATGTGATGATAAAAAGCCATTTCAAGTTATTAGATTTCTTCCAAAATTTCTTCTCAGATCTGATTTATTCCACCATAAATGAGTTTCATACTAAACCCATCTATCAATAAAATGGATTGAAGCTTTTAGATCAGAATAAGTTTATTTCAATTCAGAACGATTCCGCATAAGGAGCTCAGAATGCTTTCTAGAGCAGAAAAATAAAATCCGGAAATCAAAACAACGTTTGAAAATGCGGGGCAACTCAGTGAATTGTGTATGTATAAGTTTTCTCCTTTTGACTATCAAATTTTCAATCTTTATGATTTGATCAGTTTTCATCTTATTCAAGATCAGAATTGTTCAATACGAGTTCAAGTGTACAATCCAATATCAGAATAGTTTAATCTCTGAATGGTTATTCATGGTTCATCAAAGATCAATATGGTTCAGTTTAATTAGTCTGAATGCAGACTCAGACAACTGAATTAAGTCAAGAATTAGAATACTAGAAGTATGAAATCCAAACAGTGGTGATCAATATAGACTGTATATGTATCAATAATGGTGTACGTAATAGAGATATTGGGTTTCGTTTGTCGAATAATTTGTTATAAAACGGGGTACTTGTGCACTAGATAATATACGTATTGCAGTTTGAGGAACTGCTTCTGTTTTGTCTTCATATTAGACGTTCAAGCCAAGATCAGTATTCATACGAAAAATTAAAACAAAATAACCAAGAAATGGTGCTTAATGGGGTTAATAATTGCCCAGTAACGAACCCCGATCTTCGGGTACACCATCTAGTAAAGAAACCCTTACAATCCATTTAATTTTGCTACCACGAAATAAAGACATGGAAATATCACCCACGTATTTTAGAATTTCAAATATAAGTCCAGATTGAGCAGAGGTTTCGTTATTCTTCGTCACACTCGTCGAGGGAGAGTTGTTGACACATTCAATATACCGTTTAAATTATCAATTTAAATTCATCGTTTGATGCCATGTCTTTTCGGAATCATACATTTGATTCTGATTCTTGAACAAACAAATGTCAAGCATATTCTTATTCTTGCATTTAAAAGAACGTCGGGGATTCCATTAAGAGTTGAAATCTCGGTGTTCTTGGCCGAATGGCGGGGTGAAAGTCAAGTGAATTTTACTGAAGTCGGCCCAACTGAGAAAAGGTATAGCAAACATTAATGTCAAGAGATTTGACTGATGAACCAGCAAGTAGAAAGTGTCCTCGAGGACCTAGGCTGTTAGCCCTTTAAAACATGCAACTTCGGTTAATTAACGTTGTATTTATACTGATTATATGTCTTCTGATCAATAATAGCATAGAGTTAACCGCCTCTTATATTTCTGGTCATCTTTAACCCTTATCTTATATATTTCTTTTATTACTTATATAGTCCATATACAGTAAAAAACAAAGTAATTGCTTCGCATGAAATGTACCGATATGGAAATTTGCATACTGCGTTTCTGTTGCAGATTAATGAATACGGGTTTTTATTACATAGCAATTTTATAATACACAACTTGCATAATACATAAACCTCATTTGTTTTTCTTGTCAATTTTACGATTTTTAAAAAAATTTTCAATTTCTTAATTTGTTCTATATTTGGTTACATATTATCACTGTGATAAATATTATTTTTAAAATTATTTTGACTAGTGGTTGAAAAGTTATTGGCATATTAGGAAAAGGTTAAGTAGCATGTTGTGGACTACAAATTGAGAAAATAGCAAGAAGAAATAGCAAAATACCAGGAATTTGCGAAGAATTACGAACCAACGTCTGGCAGCTTATTGCCTTGTTGCCTATCGCTCATTGGAAGTGTCGATCATAAGGGATTCAAAGGAGGTTTACTTGCGTTTGTATCTTATATCTAGCTTCTATTTGCAACATTCCGATTTCAGTTCAGTAATTCCAGAAAAAGAACATAAAGAGATTATAACCTCCCAATCGGTAATACCTTTATATATGTATCGCAAGCCTATAGAGTGTCAATGTGCATAATTCAAATTTTCTGTCGGCTTAGGTTCCTGAAATTGAATTCTATAATCAGCATGATAGTCAGCATGATAGTGCTGTATAATGCCCTACTTATACCGTTAGAATTATAATAAACCTAATGCACTAGAAATATAATTAGTTTTAGACGGGGAATTCTTAGATTAATTTGAAGGTATGTACAATGTACATGTATTTGACATATGACTTAAAGGGATCGATTTGACCAATGCAACTTCGCAACTTCGCAAAAGACCTTAAGTCTCAGAAACCTTAGCTAAACAGTAATAGTGTTCACAACCCACGGTTAAAATTTGAGCCTTCAAATACATGTGTGTACAGAATTATCCACGTTTGAAAGTTAAAAAGACGACTCGTCTTTTCCTGACACATTGTCATAATATAGAGAAAAGATATCTATAGAGATATAAAGTGTAAAAATGTGGAAGGAATTATGCAATTCTAGTACTTCTAAAGACTATTTACGTATATTCGAAATCGAAATCAACGTTCCAAAATGGCGAATCTGTCTCTTTGAGTTTTGATAATTATATATTTGATAAAAAACTTCCTTGAACGTTTCTGTCTGCACTGTATAAATATTAGGGCATGAAATATCATGAGAGAATAGAAAACCTAATTGAGGTGTTGTTGGGATTTTAGATAACTTGTGATAGAAATCAATGAACCATTCCCAGAGTTCTTCACAATCCTGATAATGATATTAATTAATCAATAATATAGACGGGCTAGGTAACAGGGGATTCCCCAACCTTAAACATCCTAGTCAACGCTCTCTGTATTTATTCTCTAACAGGGTTAATTGACTCTGAAAATTGTCTACAGAGAATTGAAATTGTTTTACCATTGACTAATATAATCAATATATATGAGAAGTCAGAAACTGCTTTCAAACATCTCAAGAGTTTTTACTCTAGACAAACTGATGAACGATTTCAATAAAATTCAATAAGACCAAATGTTATGTACATTACATTTACAACTGACATTTTTCATTTTCAATCTCAAAATGATTTCACGAACATTTAAGATCTGCATATAGATGAATAATGATCTTTTCACCAATGGTTTAGAAATAAACTAGTGTCCAAAAGAAACGATACCACCTGTTTGCAACGACATAAAAGAAAAACTAAACAATGCAGAAGTTTAGGATTGGTGTTGTGCTTTTGAGAAATCCTTTCACAACATCTGTACAAAAATTTCATTTCAATAAAATCTGTACAACCAATATGACAAGCCTTTAAAGATGGGTGGGGTCGAAAAAAGAACATTTCGTTAGAGCACTGATCACAGAAACAACGGGAAATGTCACACCACACGTCACAAAGTCCAGTCAGTAGCGGGTAAGTCCACCGTGAGCATCAATACACGCCTACGGACTGATGCCGTCAAACGTATGATGACGTTGGGAGTGATGCGTTGCCATTCCTCGAGGAGATATCGTTCCAAGTCCTGGACGTTGACTGGAGGCACACGGCGACGTCGGATTTGCCGATCGAGGTGGTCCCATAAGTGCTCGATGGGATTCATGTCCGGTGAACATGCGGGCCATGGCAAAACCTGTACGTTGGCGTTGGCAAGGAAGTTCTGTGTCAATCTTGCTGTGTGTGGCCTTGCATTGTCATGTAGGAAAAGGAGTCCACGAGGCTGTTGCTGAATAAAGGGCACCACAACAGGCCGTAGGATGTCATCAATATAACGCTGTGCATTCAGGTTTCCACGAATTACGACAAGCCTCGTTTTGACGTCACCACATATGCCACCCTAAACCATTAACCCTCCACCTCCAAACGGCCGGACCTGTTGGATACAGTTAGGCGCCAAACGTTCACCAAATCGTCGGTATACAAGCTGCCGTCCATCGTTTTTGAAGATGAGGAATCTGCTCTCATCAGAGAACATAACACGTGCCCAGTCCCGCCGTTGCCAACGTCGAACTCGCCTGGCCCAGATCAGTCTGTTGTTCCGGTGTAGAGGCGTCAGGAGCGGTCCGCGGTAGGGATGACGTGGCTGGATACCATACTGCCGTAGTCTCCTGTAGATTGTCTGTCGACTGATCCTGTGTCCCAGTGCTGTAGCCGCCGTGGACGTCGCTGTTACGGTGCGATTCCTCAGGTGTAATACCCGAATGTAACGATTTCAGGGGCGTGGTTACTTGTGGTCTTCCACTCCTGGGCCTGTCTGACGTCTGACCTGTCTGACGTAACCGCTGCATGAACCTGGTGATAGTGATGCGTGCGCAGCCCAACCTTCTGGCGACGTCGACGTGTGTCGCTCCTTGTTGGACCATTCCAACGGCTCTCTCTCTCTCGATGGCTGTCAAACGTGGCATATCTAGTGTTCTTTTTGTTGATGTGATATCAACGTGTCTGATCAGCCGTTTTATACAGTTTTATGCATGTGCAGAACATGCTAGAGAGGGAAATGTCACTTTCATGAAATTTACGTTTTTTCCCGGAAGTGATCACGTGTTCACGGTATTTTTATCGACTATGCTGTGTTTGGGATGTGCAATACGAATTGGCATGTTTTCATATTAGACAATTCACTTAGTAAAAAACAATTTTGAAAATAAGTTGGTATCGTTTCTTTTGGACACTAGTTTATATTTGAAAAATCCTTAAAAAAAAAAGAGTCGGCATATTGTAATGTTATTGGCATACACACTTTATGATTTATGATCTTCTCATTGGTTCGGCAAAATATTTCATTCTAATCGACACACACCCGTCATAGACATCACAAAAGATATGAAATGTACCAAAATTGACAGCGCAGTAACAGAGGGCCATTCTCCGTTTCTAATCTGATAGTGAGTGCCTTCATGAGTTTAAATGTTTTGGAATTGAGAAAGCAAAAAGATCGAAAATGC